CACACACACACCTGGAGTACAGACCCTTACTGGAGACACTGTACACACACACCTAGAGTACAGAATCTTACTGGGGTCACTGTACACACGCACACCTGGAGTACAGACTCTTACTGGAGTCACTGCACACACACACACACACCTGGAGTACAGACTCTTACTGGTGTCACTGTATATATATATTCCTTAGTGCTCGCCTGTTCCTAGTTGTGATTAATAACCTTCCAAATGACAATAAAAACACAGAAATGTATTGTTTTTCTATTTGCTGCAGATTTAATTCCCATCAAAAAAGAATAACATATATAAATTATGTGTCCTATGGTATCGTGTTTTTTTTTCTTTTTTTCTTTGCAGGATTACCTAGAGCAGAAGGCTTTATAATAATAATAACAGCAGAAATAAATACACATCCTCTTATCAACACTTTGTACAGAGCCGGGTAGAGCTGTTCTTCGACAATTTACAGGTGTTTTAGAACCTGTTTTCCAGAACTCGGGTACAAATTGATACACAGTGCAGAGATACTGAATTAAAATACCGTGCTAGGCTTGTCCAGTACTGACCATAAACAACGCCTTAAGACACTGACCACTGGCAATGTCATCACTTCAGTTACATTCCTCGGAGTGCTAAAAATTGTACAGAAAACAAGTTTTCCTACTTTCAAGCTTCAATCAACAGTTCAGTGCCATTCTGTTGTCATTCAGAAGGATAAAATGTGAAAACCAGTTTTTCTGTGTTAAGATATGAAGCTGCTCCCTGCATACAATTGCAAGGGCACAAGGAAGAGTCTCTACAGATTTATGTCCTGGCATGGAGTCGTCCTTTGCAAGCATCAGAAGTTCTGCAGAAATCATTCGTGGTTTCAACAGTGTCAACGTGCACATATGGGATAGTCACAGCTTGAGGTTCCCATTTTTTTTTTAGATTTAACCCCACCAAGGAGAGATTTACGCACTGATCTCCTCATATGCTGAGTGCTGTGCGTTTGTACGGCACACAGCCTATAAAGAAATAAACAAGAAACATGAAGAAAAAATACAATTCTGAGCAATCAAACTGACCAAAGCACAGTTCCAGGGGAGATTCCAGTCTCAATCTAGTCTTGTTACTCCAGCCCAAACTGTCTTGAGGCAGATGCAGCCTGCTGTGCTGCTTTCAGATTGATCAGAAAAGCTGTGTCTCATCCTGCACACCCTGTATAGCACAATGGCCTCCACGTCTGGGGGTGACAGAGTAAGATGAGACCCCTCGATTAGCCATGCCTGATCGAACAGCACATCTGGCTTATCAGACACAACAGCGTGGCCAGGTCATTCAGCATTACAGAGAAGGGGACTGCAGAGACATAAACTGTGAACCATTTTTTTTACAAATCGGATTTCTTATTGATGGGGAGATGGTGAGTGCATTATTACAAAATACACCTTAAAGAGTGCTATTTCTGAATATAAAACAGTAGTAGCAGCATAAGCAAATTTTTAATCAGCGCAATACTCTCTCCTGCGGTGTTCCTAGCGGGTTAGGAGATAATGAAATTTGAATAACGACACTTTTAAAATGAAAAGGTCCACTGGAGCAGGTGGTGGTGTGATGTAACTCAATACCTCAAAATGAGAAGAGGTATAAATAAAATATTTTTTTACAGAAATATATACAGATTTGCTTTGGGCTGTCTTTATAACACAACCGTCCCCTGTCGTTACGGTTTGCCTGTGTTGTCTGTGAGTATCTTACGCGATAGACAGAAGGCGGGTTGTGCTGATGAGTTGGTGTTAAAGCAGGGACGGTAGACCGAGAGAGTCATTAATATACTGTGTATTTGTACGAGTCCTTCACATATTTTGTTGTTTTTTTTCCCCATAAGATAGTTTTTTTTCTTCTTCTTCTTTTTTTTTGTTAAATTCGTCGGACGAGTTCTCCTGGCGGGTTCCCGCGGCGCGCGAGGTATGGCGGTTATTTTACGCGGGAGAGACGGAGGAATTTGAGACCGAGGAGACTTCCGTTTTGGACGCTGAGGACAGTTCGGACCCGTCGTCCACCTTCTTACCGAACAGCTGCATTATGCAGTTGCGGAACTGAAACGAAGAAGAAGGGGGAGAGGTGGGGGAAGAGGAGGGGGGGAGACATTTGGAAAGGTGAGGTGTTCGTTAGACAGGAGTCGTCATCAGCGTCAAGACGACCGCGGCAAAGGGAGCTGCGTGTGTTGTGTTCAAACACCGGACCGTGACGTGAAAGATATTGCCAGTCACAACATCCTAGCAGCGTAGTGCGCTTACAAATTCGGTTGTCTGTGAAAAATGAGGGGTCGCTGATTCAAAACAGCGTCCTTCTGTATAGTTTTAGTGCAAATGTGTAGCGTAACGGACTGGAAGTCGGCACACGGAAAAACGCAAGAGTGTGTTGTTCTTTTTTGAAAGTCTGAAGGACTTCCCCTCCCATTTTAATCTTGCTCAATTTCTTTGTGTGTGAAAACGTTTATGCTTAAAAACGTGCGTCCCACATCTTACACACTAGGAGTTTGCCGGGGCTCATCTAGAATTTGTGTGAATCGCCCCCGTGTGGATAGGCTTTGGCACAGCAAGCGAGCTTTCTATATGTGTGGTATTTGCTCTGGTAGAACTGAACTTAAAACTTGAAATGAGAACCTCGCACCTGAAGAAGGCTCCATAGCCGAAACTTTGTTTTTCTTTTCTTTTCAGCCTGGAATAAACCTGTTCCTTTGCAGCCTACGCATGCTGACGCAGCCACCTACTTGAACTTAAAACTTTTATGACTTTTATCCTTTTTTGCTTCCCGTACTGCAAAGATTGAATGGCTGCAATTCAGCTGTGCAAGTCTTTTTTATTTTGTTCTGTTTTGAAATGGGATATTTAAGATGAAAACTCTAGCACTTCATGCATGTGAGCTTCACCACACAGGGAGTAAATTACGTACAAATCTGAAATGTTGCAGGCCCTTGGATTTATTTAAAATCAAGGGTTTCAAGTAGGGAGCTGCATCAGTATGCATAGGCCGCACGGGAACTGTTCAAGGGTGTTCCTGTTTCTTCACCTTTCAGCGGGATTGAACCTTAACCTGTTCCTTAAATTACAAGGCAGGTAATGCAGCACATACTGTAGTAACAATGCAAATGATTTCATATGGTCCCTCTCCTGCTTGTAGCTACAGTGGAACACACGTCAAACTCAGCCCTCACCTGTCTGTTCATGAAGACGTAGATGACGGGGTTGTAGATGGTGGCGCTCTTGGCAAAGTAGGCAGGCATGGCGGCCGCCAGGGGGTGGAAGGCGTACCCAGGGTAGGCAGTACCGAAGCAGACAAAGAAGGTGTACGGGCCCCAGCAGACGCAGTACGCCACGATCATGACCACCACCATCCTGGACACTTCCTTCTCCGCTTTCTGGGTGGACTCGGACTCCTTCTGTTGCTGGGCGACCTGGAGGGGGAATAGGGCCAGCA